TGTGTAAATACACTTTAAATGAAAAGTATAACATACAAATAACATGATTTTTATTTAATGAAAAATTTAAATATCTGATTAATCTTAATGTATTTTATATTACATGATGCTTCTATTTAATTAATAGCAATGTTCCACAGTCTTCAATATTAAATCCAGTTTCCTTAAGTATTACAGTAACACCTGTTATACTAGAGATTTGCAGTTGAAATTGTTGTTGGAGCCTCATAAATTCTACTTCTTAGACTTTTACAATAATATTTTAGTATTAAATTATTTTCTTCTCTAAATAATGGGGATGAATAGCCTTTACTGCATCTACCCCATAAGTGAACTAACTAAATGGATTTATTTAGAGCCAAGTACTATACATAGAACTGGCGCAAGACATGATGTGGTCTGGAAAATACCTCATGTGTCTCAAAAGAGGAAAGGAGGAGGTCACATTGCCTCTTGGAGACTTGTATGATTGTCAAAGAAATATACTGGTTGACATATGCATGCACATGATACGTTTTAATTTCCTCTGGAATTTAAGGATTAAAAGGCAAACAACAAAAACATTAAGTGCTTACTTTTCTTTGGGATGATATAAAAAAGCATGAAGGGGGATTCTTTCCACATGTAGACTTTCCAAAATTCAACTTAGATGGTCCTTAGTATGCATTTTGAAGCCTCATTCTCCTATCACCCAAATACAATGACACAAACCACCTCCTGAGGTGACTACAGTTGGTATATTTCAAGTTGACAACAAAGGGATGAACTAGGTATATTAAGTATTTGACCCATGAAAATTTTACTTCAACTTTCCCTCATCATCTACCATGTTTCTTTAAATATTATTTCTAAGCAATCCCAACTCTACCCATATTTCACAGTTAGAGTTGGGTAAGCCCATTCTGTGTGGCTGTCTCTTGCACTCTACATAAGTAGCTGTTTACCTACATCTAGAAAAGCCAAAGAGATGCACTTAACTCTGATGAAGATTCTGGCAGCAGAATCCAAAAGTCTAGGTCATGAGGTTTGAATGTATAAGAGAATGATGGTTATGGTGGAATATGAAATCTAATATAGTGTGAGGGGACTTGGGAATATGAGGGGAGTGACAGTGAGATCAATAGATTAGAGTTCTTACTGTGATTAAATGATTTGGGAGTGAAGTCACTAAAGCTGTGAATTCAGGTTCCTGGAGATTCGTCAAATTAAATTTGTCACAAAATACACATCCTATACAAGGCTGGTACAATACCCAACTGACCGTAGTCTCTTAGTCTTGGGGATACAGTGTCATTGGCCTCTGTGATGGAAAATTCATGTCTATCAATAAGTCATTAACCATCTACTCACTCATCTACCCAATGTACATGAATTAAACACAAATGATATCACGGCATAGATGTTATAGAAATGCATGACCTGGCCCTAAAAGTGATGACCATACAGTTATGAGAAATAGAATTTAGATAGTAATAAAAATGCAGGTGTTTCAAAGATGCTATGGAGGCACACAAGATAAATTTTTTATCAGGGAAATAACTTGGTACCTTATAATTATGAATGTTAGGAATCCAATATGGTCCTCATTGGGTTGAAATCAAGGACGTAGTAGGTCCAGGTGCCTTTGGAGGCTTAGGAAGCTATTTCCTTAGTTTTATGAGATTCTAGAGATAACTTTAGTTTTTCCTTTGTATTCCACACCAAAAAAGTTTATATATTTTTCATTTTTAAATTATATGCATGTATGGTGGCATATGTATATGAGTGCAGGTGTCTGTGGAGAACAGAGGCATCAAATCCTCTGGAGTTGCAGGTAGTTGTGAACCACTTTGTGTGGGTACTGGGAATCAAAGGGGTATTCTGGATGAGGAGTAGAAGTTATCAACCACTGAGTCATGTCTTCAGCCTCCGTTTCTTTCACATCATCCCTTGACATTCATTATTCAGCCAGTCATATACTTTTAAGGACTTTTATAACTATTGAGTCTACTTCGATAATTTATTTTGTCAATCAAATTGCAACCTTAATCTCATCTGAGACCTTAATCCCTGCTTTCCAAGTATTTTGGAATATTGCTGTTTAATGAGATTTCTACTTAGGCATTATTGGGAAGCCACTATTATGCTTGCCACATTCAATAGTCAATGGGCATTTTAGTATCAATAAAGTGTGGTCATCAGAAACTTCTCTAATTATTTCTGCCATTTTTGTAATGCCTAGAATTCAACATTTTTAATATTTTATGTAAAATTTACACAAAATATTCTGATGTGCCTGTGTGACACTTGTTTCCTCTTCATAACCTTAGCCCACTTACTTATATTTGTTGTTATTTATTTATTTATTTATTTATTTTTACACCCATTTCCAAGATAGCACCATTCCATAGGCCCCCTCCCCCCACTAGACCCCTTATACTCTGATATCCCTGCTACTGTCTGCTGTGTTGTCGGCACCCCCAGCCATTCCAGGGAAGTATTCAGCAATTATGTGTGCATGTGCATGTTATATATTTATGCAGCAATTATATATGTATACTAGGTTATTATATATAATTATATATCCATTAGATTATTCCATTTATGTAAGATTCTTGAAATGAAAAAAATTATAGAAATGTGGAATAGATTCCTAGTTACCAGGTAAATGCTGAGGAGGAGGTGGAAAGCAGAAGGGAAGGAGGTGGGTGTGGTTTGGAAAAGCAACAAAGAGGGTATCTATGGTGTTGGACATTTCTATCTTGATGGTATCTATCTAAAATTCTGATAATGATATTATTGTAGTTTAAAGATAACTAGCAGTATATGTCCTCTCTGTATTATGTTTTCGTAAGTGTATGCAAATCTATACCAACTGTAAAATTTCATCCTCAGTTAAAATAAAAGCAATTTAATATATTGTGAAAAAAATTTACACAAAATAAAATCAACAAACCTTAAGTGCTTAACTACTGGCAAGTGCATAAACCGTATTTGTCAAATACCAATCATTATATAGAACAGTGCTATGTGCTAAAAGAGTTTTCTACAATTTAGGCTTTGATTCCACCATGCATAAGTATCC